AAAAAAAAAAAAAAAAAGGAGAATAAAACAACAAATTTTTTTCATTCGAACAGAGAAACCTGTCATATAAATACGAACGTGCATGTATATTACATATAGAATTATCGTTTAATAAAACACAGCGGTGAGATAAAATGGTGGATTATATGAGCGGAAAAATCGCAATAAAGTTTAATATTCCCTTATTCGAGCAGAACGAAATCCCGGATATCCGAGCGACTGGCTTCCTCCACAATTCTCTTGGATTTATTGGCATCGGCCTGTGGCCTGCCGCATTGTTTCATTTAATCGAAAAAAAAAAAGATAACCTCGAAGTCTCTAACCTTGATCGAGATATCATGAAATATCTGTACCTTATATTCACTTTAATCTTTTTATTATCCAACCAGTTTCTTTTTTTATTCTACCTAAATATCCTATATATTTCTATTTAAATATCATATATAAATAAAATAGTTAATCAAGATAATTTTAATTTATTTAATCTTTTCTTCATTTTTCTTTTATTAATAATTATTATTATATAATAAAAAAATTAAAAATCTCTTGGAAAAAGATAGTTGAATCACTTCAATTTTAGGATTTTAAGTTTATAAAAATATTTGTTTTTTAGATTGTAAATAATAATATTAATTATTAATTAATTAAACTAACCCATTGTGAGTTCTAAACTCTTTATTTTACTTCTTATAGAAATAAAAATATTGAAGGAAATCCTAGAGACTTATAAATATAAAAATATGAATTTCTGACTTCTCTGCTTCAAAATAGATCTTCAAAATAGCATTATATTTAACAATATCTCGAGAAATTTCAATTGACATGTTTAACAGTGTAACTCCCAAAACACAGGAAATGGAACATCGCATAAAGCCTTAACAAAACATCTTCATGACTGTATGTTGTGTTTGAATTACAGCTTCCCCACACAACTAGTGCAATAACAGTTGGTAACTCTACAGGACAATAGCTCTAGGCATCTTCAACATGGTAGATGAAAATCAAACATTGTGTGATACAATCGATTATAAATTTTTATCCTAGAACTAGGGATCAATGTACATTGAAGACGTGAAAAATTCTAAAAAAAAATAATATAAATTATAATTAGACCAATTTTTTCATATTCATTTCCCATTTTTTGAGAAACTTATTAGGGAAAAAATTTATCAACAAAATTAACAATTAATATTAACAAATTAGAAAAATTTCAAAAAAGAATAAAAATTATTAATAGAAAAGAATATTGGAACAAATATGACAAAATATGTTATAAAAATATGGAAGGCACAGTCCAGGGAATTTATTGCCATCTATATACGTGTTTCTACATTGAAGATATACATTTCTGAAATAAATTTTTTGTCGTTTTATATCTAAACGTATAATAATTAGCCATAGATGCACATTTGTTGATTCAGAGAAATTAAAAATCTGCACCATGAAAAATAAAAATACATATTTTATAATAAATGAAATTATAATTAAATCATAAATTTTCAATTAATTTTTATTAATTTTCAAAAAACAGAGGAAAATTTGTTTTTTAAAACATTAATACAAAAAATATAAATGAGAATTTTTTAATGAAATTTGTTTTAAAAAAAAAACTTTCTTCAATGTTTTTTTTTTAAACAAGATTTAAATTTTATTTACGGATCATGTAAAAAAAATTAATCGATATAGTCTTAATTATTCACTTAAATTGTATAAAATACATATGAGATTTCGTTAAAATTGATAAGATAAAAATATTTGAATTTTTAAATTTCAAAAATATCTTATTATTTATGATAATTTATAAAAAATATTTAAATTTCATTATTTAATCAGCACATATCTTTAAAATATTTTAAAGAAAATGTTTTCTCATATAACAATTTTAATGCGTTATAATTTTATCCAACGATAAAAATTTTTTAAAGATTAAATTTACATCACGCGATCCATGAACAAAATTTAAATCTTTGAAAATTTACACATTAAAATAATTATTATAAATCTAAATAAAATGTCAGATTAATTAAATATATTGTTATCTAACATATCTAATTAATTATTATTAATAAAAAAATTAAATAAGCAAAACCCGATCAGAAATAATATCTTATCTAATCGAACAAACGACAACTGTATCGTAAACCGAGTATCGATTTAATCGATTAAGCATCGATATGCTTTTACCTCGTGGATCAAATTTCTCTATAAATGCCTGTTTACTAATGACAGGCGTATGTAAGTACGATGAATTGGCTCAAATTGAATTTGAGAGACGATAGCACGAAATCGAGAATCGAGAATTAATTAAGACTTGCGAAGTGAGTTCCACTTTCGTGGCCTTTGATAGTGTTAAAAATTTAAAAGAATTCTGTCCTTTGAGAAAAACTAGGTCTCTAAAAAAGACTTGTTTGAAAAGAGACTCGATGATTAAGATTATACGATTATGCTTATGCTCAGTTTAGTTTACATTTACATTTAACAATCTTCAAAGTTTATCATATGCTATTTATATTCGAAGAATAAATTATTTATAGAAAAAAAAAAATAAAAAAATAAAAATTCGCATAGATCCCAAAAAATAATGTGTCGAGGAGAATTGTTGAAAATTATTACGCTAGGAAAATTATAATGAAAATTCGATATAGCTGTGAGAGAACTGAACTGGTGTTTGTAAAGATTAAATGAGCCATATTTAACAAGGGAAATAAAATATAAGATATAATATCTAAAATATTTCGGTATTCGGCTAAACGACAAGAAATTCGGTGTTTTATGTGGTCATTACTGTCGCATGGTTCTCGAGGATCGTCGTAAAGAAGCGGATACAACCATGTAACATAAGTGAATTTAAAATAGCAGCTAACTTTAGTATTCCATTAAAATTCTTTTCAACATTTCTATCGTACGTAAATTACAACAAATAGTTACGATTTTGAAAAAACTTTGAATAAGAAGATTTGAGATAAAAATTCGGTGTAGAATAACGAAAATTAAAATAATACAAATATTTAGAATCACGACAACAATTTTATTCTATCCAAATAATGACAATATTGCGACTACAAATTGTACATAATATAATCTACATAATTTTTTTATCTTCCCATATGTCATTTTTATTAAATGTTATAAATAAATAGTTATAAAAAAATTTTTGTACGTACACATTTTATTGTCGTGATTCCAAAACTTATAAGCGAATTGGGCCACTGAACCGACGTTTCATTTAAATAATATTTATTCTGATTTTAAAATATATGCACAACAGCTTAGATATTATTCACAATCAGGTATTTTCTCCCCATTTTTTTTTTTCTTCTTTTCAATTTACAATTATATATATTTTATATATATATATATATATAATCTTTACAATTTGCAATAAGATAAAACTAAGTTATCAAAGATATTACGACTGAGAATAGTTCGTAAGAATTGAATTCAAAATCATCTAACTAATCGGCCTTCCGGTTTATCAAGAATCTGACAATGATCACAGATCAGTAGAACGTCGATTCGATTTACGACAGAAGAAAGACCTAGTATAATATTTTTGATATTTATATCATTGTATAATTATCGTTTTATTAAAGTATCTCTTATACCATTTTTTTTTATTTTTATCCTTTTTTTTTTTTTATTTTTCCTTTATTATTATACGATTCGACTGTGCGCCGAATATGGGATATGAGACGGTCGATCATGGAAGCGAGCTTAATTATTTATTTACTTGGGTAATATACTTAATAATCTTTTGTTTTTTTTTTTTTTTTTTTTTATTTTTCCTTTATTATTATACGATTCGACTGTGCGCCGAATCTGGGATATGTGACGGTCGACCATGGAAGCGAGCTTAATTATTTATTTACTTGGGTAATCTACTTAATAATCTTTTGTTTTTTTTTTTTTTTTTTAATTTAATTAGTTCTTTTAACCCTAATTCGCTTATTTAGTTTTTCTCTGGTATTATATGTTTTTTGTGCAATCGCGTAGTCATTTTGTCTGTTGTTGGTTCTCCGACCGAGTAGGCGAAATATCAAAGCCTGTGAACAGAGATCGAAACTTCGAGCTATATATTACATTTCTTGATAATATAATCTTTCACTTAGTTCTTTAAATTATTTTTCACTCATTCGCAAAGAAGCAATTGTTGTCGTTGATTTACATTCGTTATTTTTATGGGGTGGTTTTAATATCGTGGTCCTTATTGGCGATATCTTGCATTTCGATCTCTACTGGGAAAAAAATCGTGAATCGTTGCCGATAGAAAGAACAGGTGATCTTCAGAAATGCCGCAAAACAGAAGAAACAAATTGTCTCTAAGTTTTAGGCCGATTGGAAAAATTCTGAATTTAAAACGAATCCAAACGATTATATTGTATTAATATAAAAAATAAAATAAAATAAAATATGAACAAAAAATTATAAATACTTTATTTTTATTATTTAAAGTACTAGTTCTATGAAAAGTAGAAATCTTTCAATTCCTTTACAATGCATGTCTGATTTCTCCTGTTCTTTTCTTCCCTTATCACAAGCTTGATTATCACGTTCGTTGCGTGCTCTTAAGCACGCATGCGCGCGCATGTGTGTGTATATGACGACTTGTAAACATTTTATTTTTTTAAACTCGACAAATACTTGTAACAACATTAAAAATTGTGACAACAATAAGAAAGAGATAAATCGTACTAAGAACGATGATTAGTGCAGAAATATTGAGAGAAATATTGTTCGACGGTGTGATAATATAAAAAACTAAAGTGTATTGAGCTGCAAATGCCCACGACGGATTCCTGAACTTTTTTTCATTTTATTATATATTCTCGAACCTTGCGAATACTTTTCTACGTCAGTCCAATTGGACTCGAACCACTAACTGAATAAAATTGCAAAAAAAAAACTCGAAGTGCCAAAAAAAAAAAAAAGAGAAAAAAAAGAAAAAAAGGTAAAAAATTTCGAAAATATGTTTGGCACTTGAAACGTCTCATCGATAAGGTAGTTGATCTACCTCAACTTTCCATCTTGATTGGTAATCGGTTATCAATCAATTAACAGGGAAATTTGTTACCGACCGTAAATCTTCTTATCGAATGCAAACCTTTTTATCGGCATTAAATTAATTGAATCGAATTCCATATACCAGTATTCGCATTTGCAAATTGTGCATGCAATACGCATGACATATACATACATATATGTACATTAAATTATGATCATATTTAAATTGATATTTCGGGCCAGAAAGCAATTTTTAGTTGCCCCAACAATATCTTTACATCATATTTTTCAATTGTTTTTTTTTTTATATACACGATCTTCAGTATTGTATTTGTACGTGATTTCATTAATCACAACGGGCAAAAAAAATACGTTTCTTTAATCTAAAAGACAGCGCGTGTCTCTTCTCCCTTCGTTCCATGATTTTTTTTGTTGCTTTCTTAAAATATTCTTAACTATTTGAACCAAATATTGACAATTTGTCAGCTCATGAGATAATACTTTGATGCTTTTAATAACTATGACTACTTTTTTATTTTTTAGGATATTGCTCAAAATATGATGAATATGATATTTGAAATTCTTTTTAACGAGAGATATCTAAGTTCTGGAATCAAGCTTGATTAATACTACATTAGATATAAGTATTAAGTGTAAGTACACGTGTGAAATTGAAATTTTATTAAATAAATTTAGATTAACTTTAAATTCCAAAATTTACACTGGAGGAAGACATAGGTCCTAATCTGCTGTAAAATTGTGATGGAAAAGTAAATATGTTTCACAAAAATATTTGCTTTTATCTACAAATAATTTTGTAGAAT